GCCTCCAAGGAGCCCCCCTGGCACCACCACACTCCTCCTACCACTTGCTGTGGACGTCTTTATATCTTGAGGTATTACAGCAGTCATCATTCCTCACCACCAGCCACGACCGGGTTCTTCAAGCACACTACGAAACCTGTACATCTTTGATCATGACAGCTTAATTCCTATTTATCCTTTTAAAGAGTTCCAAAGCACTACGAGGATGTCTACAACAACAATAACCCTGGCTTAAGCAACTTTGAAGTTCGTATAAAGTGTTTAATAAATACAGACTAAAGCTGCAATGATCGAGGAAAGATGTAGAGGTCTCGCAAGTGGACGTGAACATGTTGGATGACTGCTAATGTCTCGCCCAAGTCTCCTCTCGTCCCCGCCGCCTCGATACATTGCACGTCCCAACTGTATTGCATCACCTCGGCCCCAGAGGACATAAGCGAAAGCTCGAGACGCAAATGAGCCAAAAACTACAAGGACATACATGCTTAGGGAGCCTTTGTGTAACCCTTTACACCACCGTATGTGGTTCATACGTCAGGCTGCGAGCAGCCACGTCAAACAGCCTGGTTGACCAGTCCAGCAACGAGGAGGCCTGGTCGATGACCGGGCCGCGGGGACGCTAAGCCCCGGAACAACTCCAAGGTAACCGCCCACTGGATGGGTATGGGGTGCATAATAAAGAAACTGAATTGAATTGCCCGCGGGATGGGTATCTTGAGATTATCTTGAGTTGATTTCGGGGCTTTAGTGTCCCAGCGGCCCGGTCCTCGACCAGGCCTCCACCCCCAGGAAGCAGCCCGTGACAGCTGACTAACACCCAGGTACCTATTTACTGCTAGGTAACAGGGGCATTCAGGGTGAAAGAAACTTTGCCCATTTGTTTCTGCCTCGTGTGGGAATCGAACCCGCGCCACAGAATTACGAGTCCTGCGCGCTATCCACCAGGCTACGAGGCCCCTGGGGTACAAGGTATGGGGGTACAAAATGAATCAGAGGAAAAAAATCAATTCCTAGCTGAGTGGTTAACAAGTGGAAAGCCCCGATACAAGAGGCTGTAGAAGCCACCTCCATCCATAACTTTAAGATTCAATATGAACGTCAGAATAGTGAAATTAAAACGCAGCAGGGAAACAAGGCTGATCCCTGGAAACACAAACCGTAACTGTCTCTATTGTCCGCTTGTTACAACTTGTTACAACAACTTGTTACCGCTTGTTACAACAACTACAAGTTGTTACATCTTGGCTTAACGTGTTTATGACGTATTAGAACGTTGTTACAACATGTTACATTGATTGTTATAACTAGTTAGGTGTTAAAACTTGTTCGAACGTTGTACCAACGTCGTAGTTTCGGTGTGTGTTTGGCGGGGATAAACGGGGCATAAGGAGCTAGAACTCACTACCCTGGAGCCAGCCCAACCACTTGGGCTTGACGATAGAGCAACGGTCTGGCTTCCTGCAGGTCAGCGTTCGATCCCCGACGGTCCAAGTGCCTAGGCACCGTTCCTTACCTCCGTCCAACCCCAGTTCCTTGTCCCTATATCCCTCCCAAGTGATAGTTGTACTGGGTTAGTGCTCTCCTTCATAATTTCCTTACGGAAAACTAAATTTATTTCCCACCAATCGACGATACTGTTATTAAAATACAACATGTATTTGAACCAAATACAACATGTATTTGAACCAAATACAACCTGGCCTGGTTTGGGCCTCGTAGCCTGGTGGATAGCGCGCAGGACTCTTAATTCTGTGGCGCGGATTCGATTCCCGCACGAGGCAGAAACAAATGGGCAAAGTTTCTTTCACCCTGAATGCTCCTGTTACCTAGCAGTAAATAGGTACCTGGGAGTTAGTCAGCTGTCGCGGGCTGCTTCCTGGGGGTGGAGGCCTGGTCGAGGACCGGGCCACGGGGACACTAAATTAGCCCCGAAATCATCTCAAGATAACCTCAAGATAACCTGTACTCAGGGAAGAAATCCCCTGGAGGTAATGGATTCAAAACCACTATGTGATTACTGGTATTATCTACTCTTTATCCATGGGTTAGGTTAGATAAAGGTCACTTTAGGATAAGGTTTTGTTAGGTTAGGTTTTATTCCGTTTGGATTTGTTAAAAACATTAACGATAACGTGAAATAAGGAATTCAAAAACAATTTGAGTGTATCATAGAATTTCGTTTACAGAAAACCAAATACTTCAGACCGTTTCAAGGGAAAGGTGTTCAGCAAATATAGCTTCTATATTTTAAACAAACTATTTATATTATAAAAAGTTATATATTGAGAATATACACTGTTTAGGACGAAGGTTCACTTGCCTGTTTACAAGTAAACTATTACTGGAACCGTAATATGTTCTCATATGTTCTCTGACAATCACAAATATCTAGATAACTATCCAGGTGGCTTGGTCTCTCATAGTAATAGATTTACTCTGGGAAAACAAATAGCGTGAACAGAATTAGATAAGTCTCTCCTACGAGATATAAAAGACGATTTTCTTTCACCGGGCGCCACCAAAGAAAACGGTAACCTTGTGTTGAATATTGACTTGCCAGCGACAAAAGTTGGATTGCGGAGCGCATGGTGGAACACGCAACACTAACAACACATAATCAAACCCATACAACATCACAACAACTCCAGTTACCCATACTACACTGAGTGTACTGATATTGAGTGTTTATTGACGTAACATTAACAACAATTTAATTATTAGAAAGAAGCTGGCTCAGGGCTTTCTCATAATATATTATGTCTTCCAACACATTATTGTCACTATAACCCCTTCCTACCCCTTCCGTTCCTCCTTCCTCTTTACATTCTTGATTTTTTCCTTGTTCTTACATTCTCCCTCTGGCTTCCCCCTTTCCCCCCCAAATCCCCCCAACGTCCCCAGTTTCTTCAATTCTCCTTTTCAACTTTATCTGTCATTTTTGTTCCTGCTATTTATCCTTCCAATGTACCCTGCCTTCCTTCTCTCACGTTTTCTGTCTCAACCGTCAATAACATCCTGCCTGTCTCCCGTCTAATTCCTCTCTTCCTGCCTCCTTCCTTCTAGACGGCAGAGAGGAGGGGGGGGGAGGGATGGCCAGTGGTGCCACTGAAGAACTACAGACCATAAAGGAACCATAAGAATGGCGGTAACTACAGAAGGTCTATTGGCCCATACGAGGCAGCTCATATATATATCCACTCAATCTTGTATGTCTAACCTACGCTTGAAAAAAATAAGCATTTTCCAGTGTTTCTTCAAAGGGAAGGTTTCTAATTTGTGGATTAACTTATATGACTAGCATGACTAAATGATAACTTATACGACGTAGGATGACTAATCCTACGTCGAGAGCAGGATTAGTCATCCTACTCTCAACGCGCTCTAGTAAATTTATGTCCGTTCATTAGTATGGCGACCAGAACTGAACACCCTAAATGGGGCCTAGCAAGAGCACGATATTAATGCAGAATAACACCAGGTGTTCTATCGCTTCTAGGAATAAATCCCAGTGTGTTCCATTTGCCTTATTTCAAACATTCATGTACTGATTTTTTTGGCTTTATATTCCTGGTAATCATGAACCCCACATCCCCAATCAGACTTACCTGATAGGTAAGGCACGGAAGACTAGTAGGTCGGCTGGGGAACCCTGGTTATGGTAGGCTAGGGAACCCTGGCTACAGTAGGCTAGGGAACCCTGGCTACAGTAGGCTAAGGAACCCTAGCTACAGTAGGCTAAGGAACCCTGGCTACAGTAGGCTAGGGAACCCTGGCTACAGTAGGCTAGGGAACCCTGGCTACAGTAGGCTAGGGAACCCTAGCTACAGTAGGCTAGGGAACCCTAGCTACAGTAGGCTAGGGAACCCTAGCTACAGTAGGCTAGGGATCCCTAGCTACAGTAGGCTAGGGAACCCTGGCTACAGTAGGCTAAGGAACCCTGGCTACAGTAGGCTAGGGAACCCTAGCTACAGTAGGCTAAGGAACCCTGGCTACAGTAGGCTAGGGAACCCTAGCTACAGTAGGCTAGGGAACCCTAGCTACAGTAGGCTAGGGAACCCTAGCTACAGTAGGCTAAGGAACCCTAGCTACAGTAGGCTAGGGAACCCTGGCTACAGTAGGCTAGGGAACCCTAGCTACAGTAGGCTAAGGAACCCTAGCTACAGTAGGCTAAGGAACCCTAGCTACAGTAGGCTAGGGAACCCTAGCTACAGTAGGCTAGGGAACCCTAGCTACAGTAGGCTAAGAAACCCTAGCTACAGTAGGCTAGGGAACCCTAGCTACAGTAGGCTAGGGAACCCTAGCTAGAGTAGGCTAAGGAACCCTAGCTACAGTAGGCTAGGGAACCCTAGCTACAGTAGGCTAGGGAACCCTGGCTACAGTAGGCTAGGGAACCCTAGCTACAGTAGGCTAGGGAACCCTAGCTACAGTAGGCTAGGGAACCCTGGCTACAGTAGGCTAGGGAACCCTGGCTACAGTAGGCTAGGGAACCCTAGCTACAGTAGGCTAGGGAACCCTGGCTACAGTAGGCTAGGGAACCCTAGCTACAGTAGGCTAGGGAACCCTAGCTACAGTAGGCTAGGGAACCCTGGCTACAGTAGGCTAGGGAACCCTGGCTACAGTAGGCTAGGGAACCCTAGCTACAGTAGGCTAGGGAACCCTGGCTACAGTAGGCTAGGGAACCCTGGCTACAGTAGGCTAGGGAACCCTAGCTACAGTAGGCTAGGGAACCCTGGCTACAGTAGGCTAGGGAACCCTAGCTACAGTAGGCTAGGGAACCCTAGCTACAGTAGGCTAGGGAACCCTAGCTACAGTAGGCTAGGGAACCCTAGCTACAGTAGGCTAGGGAACCCTAGCTACAGTAGGCTAGGGAACCCTAGCTACAGTAGGCTAGGGAACCCTAGCTACAGTAGGCTAGGGAACCCTAGCTACAGTAGGCTAGGGAACCCTAGCTACAGTAGGCTAGGGAAACCAGCAAGAGAACGAGGAAATGTTGAACTTACCTGACAAGTCGAGTTCTGCGCGGCCATGTTGCTTGGGAGGCTGTCGGAGGAGGGCGAGGGGAACCAGGCCCTCCTGGTCGTGGGCGTGAGAGAGCCTCACATACGCCCACTCGGCGGGGTCGCGGGTGTGTGTATGTGCCTGGAGCAGGTCAAGGACTTCGACCTGCTGACCTCGGGTCACGTTCAGCTCCCCGGAGACCGTCCCGCTCCAGTCCTCCAGCACCCAGGTCACCTCCGCTCCGCCCTGCAACACAGAAGGCTCACTTTATGGTCATGCTCAATCACCGCCCCATGGCCTCAAATGGTAATTTGCATAGTTTATCGTAAAGCTTGTGTGTGTGTGTGTGTGTGTGTGTGTGTGTGTGTGTGTGTGTGTGTGTGTGTACTCACCTAGTTGTGTTTGCAGGGGTTGAGCTTTGGCTCTTTGGTCCCGCCTCTCAACTGTCAATCAACTGGTGTACAGATTCCTGTGTGTGTATGTGTATATGTGTGTGTGTGTGTGTGTGTGTGTGTGTGTGTGTGTGTGTGTGTGTGTGTGTGTGTGTGTGTGTGTGTGTGTGTGTGTGTGTGTGTGTGTGTTTACTATTCGTGCCTGCAGAATCGAGCTATTAGCTCTTGGACCCCGCCTTTGTAACCGGGTGTTTGCGTGCGCGTTCACGAGAAGATACACGGAGTGGAAGCAGTTAGGTTCCAGCGCCCCATGTTAGTTACTGCACTAACAGCCCAATTTCTTGGTAATTACGACGAAAAGACGTGACGACCGTACTTTAGCTCCACAGCTGAGACCTTAATAGAACAACGGTCCGCATCTCCAGCTTATTTCCGTTCTCTCGATCTGCCACTCCGTAAAAAACACAGGTGTTTAACCTAACCAGAAACGTACGAACCCTTGCAACCCTCCTAACCTATCGAGGCCGATGCAGAGAAAACGCCTATATTACGGTGCTTTAATTGTTAACAATACGTCGCATTTTTTGCTGTTTAGCCGATTTCTTAACAAATTAAACATTAAATTGTGAGGAGTTGCATTCAGAGCGGTCCACTGTGACCTTGTGACTAGGTCTTGGGAGGAGACCTAGTCAGAGACCGGGCCGCGGGGACACTGATCCTCGAAACTACCTCAATATAAGAGGCTAGTTAGAAGGGCTGAAACTAGAATCAAATCCCATGTGATGATGTTTCATCTGTTAATAAAAGAATTCTGGACAACATGCCAGCAGTAAGGTCCCCACGACACAATATGAAGAAACGGGGTTCTTATTTCGGTTTCGACGGACCGAAACGTCGTGGTTTCTCCACCTTCTGAAGTGTCGTTTGGTCATTATATCTTCAGCCACATTATAGTGACACATCATCACCAGTATCTATCACCATACATGATGCCCGCCCCTCCCCCCTCTCTCACCATCTCACCCTTTTCCAGCAATCCCTCTCTCTCCTCTCCCCCCTCTCACCCTTTTCCAGCAATCCCTCTCTCTCCTCTCCCTCTCTCACCCTTTTCCAGCAATCTCTCTCTCTCCTCTCCCCTCTCTCACCCTTTTCCAGCAATCCCCCTCTCTCCTCTCTCCCTTCTCACCCTTTTCCAGCATCCCCCCTCTCTCCTCTCCCCTCTCTCGCCCTTTTCCAGCAATCCCTCTCTCTCCTCTCCCTCTCTCACCCTTTTCCAGCAATCCCTCTCTCTCCTCTCCCCTCTCTCACCCTTTTCCAGCAATCCCCCTCTCTCCTCTCTCCCTTCTCACCCTTTTCCATCATCCCCCTCTCTCTCCTCCATCCCCCCTCTCACCCTTTTCCATCATCCCCTCCTCCTCTTTCCATTTCTACAGACGAAAGGTCAAAAGTCAAAGAAATATTAAAATTAGAATTCTTGGGCCCACAAGCGGCATGATGACTCTGGGGGAGACAACGGCCAACACAACATTCTCCCGCCAAGACGGTCAATACAACATTCTCCCGCCAAGACGGTCAATACAACATTCTCCCGCCAAAAGGAACAGCAAACATGACAAACAAACACTCACATGTAAACAAAAAATAAAACCACGACTTGTAAAACATCACTGACAACCGACTTCGAATATTCCAAAAAGTTACGAAATTATATCATTATTATAGAAAAATCTTATGAGTATTATTTGACTAGGATAAGACGTCTTCCTTGATAAGGTGAACTTTGATGATGAATATGATGATGATATTCATTAAATAATAGCAGTTTCTTGGCGGGAAAAAATATATGCGAAAAGATATGTCTGGTCTGAGAAAATAAATATCCCTTTGCGACGGAGGAAGTACGTCAGATAATGATGTCACCTGTCAACACACTGTCAAATACGGTCCGTCAAAGAAGGCAATACCTCGTCCACACACACACCTACATTAACCAGGAGTTTACCTCTCACAAACCTGCCTACAAACGGAGCTTTTACAAGTCTTTTTTACAAGCTTTTACAAGTCTGTGGTACACTTTTACAAGTGTACCACGGTGTGGTACAGTTAAGTCCAGCCACAATGATGACGATCTGTGTGTACTCACCTATTTGTACTCACCAATTTGTGCTTGTGGGGGTTGAGCTCTGGCTCTTTGGTCCCGCCTCTCAACTGTCAATCAACTGGTGTACAGATTCCTGAGCCTACTGGGCTCTATCATATCTACATTTGGAAACTGTGTATGGAGTCAGCGGCCACCACATCACTGCCTAATGCATTCCACCTGTGTGTGATTGTGTGTGATTGTGTTTGTGTTGGTGTGAGAGAGCTGCGTGAGCCTCACGAGAGCGGCCAGCTAGCTGTTGGTCATGTCTCACAATTGTCAACATTTTGGTACATTCAAAATGTATCTCTATTTTGGTCCGTCCTGTTATAACATGTCGTGTTGAATAGTGTAGAACTGTGTGTGTGTGTGTGTGTGTGTGTGTGTGTGTGTGTGTGTGTGTGCGTGTGCGTGTGCGTGTGCGTGTGCGTGTGTGTGTGTGTGTGTGTGTATTTTCATCTAGTTGTGCTTGCGAGGGTTGAGCTCTGCTCTTTTGGCCCGCCTCTTAACTGTCAATCAATCAACTGTTACTAACTACAAACTAACAACTATTTTCTTTCCACGCACACACACACACACACACACACACACACACACACACACACACACACACACACACACACACACACACACACACACACACGGGAGAGAGAAGTCACTGGACACCATCCCGGAAATTGTACCTTGGAATGGCACCACTGCCGGGCCCTCACGGACTCTCTCCATCCGAGGGGAAGTGGAGAGGGGAGACGGGAGGGAGGGGCAGATCAGAGGGGGGGGAGGGGAAAGGGAGAGGAGACGTGGCCCTTCATCCATAAAATATATGGGGTGCATAATAAATGGGCAAAATCAATGTGTACCACCATACATCTCTCCTACATAGACAGTATTAGAAAACCTATACATTACATAGTGAGGTATTGAGAGACGTGAGGGAGAGAAGGAAGAGGAGGGAGGGAAGGTGAGGGAGAGAAGGGGAGGGAGAGAAGGTGAGGGAGAGAAGGTGAGGGAGAGAAGGAAGAGGAGGGAGGGAAGGTGAGGGAGAGAAGGAACAGTAAGGGAGAGAAGGAACAGTAAGAGAGAGAAGGAACAGTAAGTGTACGACACAAGGTCATGCCCGTAATCAGACGCTATGTACACCAACTCTCAGTAAGTATACAAGGCAGTTTATCTTGTCTTTACCTTGCGATGGTTCATGGAATCAATGTCCCCGCGGCCCTGTTTCTCACCAGGACTCCTGGTTGGTAGTCTGGTCAACCAGGCTGTCAGGTGCAGCTGCATGCAGTGTGACGTATGAGTCACAGCCCGGTAGACCTACTCTTAGTAAAAACAAGAGGGTAGGCCTATTCTCATTAAATATTAACGGAAGTCGGCTAGTAGACAATGTCTATTAGAATCTATTAAGTCTATTTGAGCTTGGACTTAGGCCATCGTTCCCTGGTAAATACCTAACCTATGAGGTGCAGTAGGCCTATAATATAAAGGGCAGGGCCTACTCAATAAATATAAAGGATATCACTACAAATTTTGCATGTAGTGATCATGTCTCCTCAGCTCAGTCTATTGAACATGCCTCTGCACTGCATACGCCTTCGTTTTGTGATTGATGAGGCGAGGACTCCACGCAGGCACTACATATTCGAAAGTGATTGCGCGCGTGATTGCGCAATCTATTACTTAACCTATACCTATTATTTAACCTATACCTATTATAGGTATAGGTTAAGTAATAATTGTAATTACTAAGTAATAAGATGCTTATCTTAACATACTAAGAAGGTTAGGTAAGGTCGGTGTTTTCTATGAAACTTTTCAAGGTAAACTAGCATGTTTAGTATGTCACATATGCACGTATTTAATAAGTCAATATTGACTATACGAAAGTGCGAGAACGGGTTGTTCACACACATCCCTGATGGTAAAGTCCAATTGGGCGAGGCGAACCATTTGGGCTCTAAGTGGGAGGTGGCTCTCCCGGTACAAATGAACTGCACTAATGACCCGTAACCCCCACTGACAACATGGTTACAATGGCCCCTCGTGTCAGGTCTAACAATATAACGTACTCTAACACACGAACACAATAAACACAGCCTGCACACTCTCTCAACCTGTTTACAATGCACACTCTCTCAACCTGTTTACAATAATATGACACACTAGCTACGTAAGCAGTCAACAACTGCTCCAAACTTGATTTTTATTTTTTTCATAATACATGAAGCAAATTTACTTGTTGTGTATGTTGATATACGGGCGCGCGCGCGCGTGTATGTGTGTATGTATATGTATATGTGTGTGTGTGTGTGTGTGTGTGTGTGTGTGTGTGTGTGTGTGTGTGTGTGTGTGTGTGTGTGTGTGTGTGTGTGTGTGTACTCACCTAGTTGTGTTTGCGGGGGTTGAGCTCTGGCTCTTTGGTCCCGCCTCTCAACTGTCAATCAACAGGTGTACAGGTTCCTGAGCCTATTGGGCTCTATCATATCTACACTTGAAACTGTGTGTGTGTGTGTGTGTGTGTGTGTGTGTGTGTGTGTGTGTGTGTGTGTGTGTGTGTGTGTGTGTGTGTGTGTGTGTATGTGTGTGTGTAATTACCTAAGTGTAGTACTTACAGGATGAGAGCTAAGCTCGTGGAGTCCCGTCTTCCCAGTACTCTTTGTCGTATAACGCGTTCAAACTACTGACAGCTGTATCTGGAGGAGCATACCTGTGTGTAA